CTGTATTATAGGTGACCTCCCCAGGCGCCTTCCATACGCCAGACGTTGAATGCGTAGCTAAGACGCTCATGCGCGACGTAGGTGCAGGCGGAGGAGAGTTTCTGGTCATGTGCGTCAGTGTCCAGCACCTGGTAGAGGAAGTCTATGTATCGTATTGCTAACTTCAGCGTCTGTATCTTGGAGAGTTTGTCTGAGGGCAGCGTGGGGATGATCTTCCTGAGGGAGGTGAAGGCTTCGTTCAGAGACTGAGTTCGTTGTCTCTCCCTGACGTTCGCTAACACCCTCGCCTGCTGGAGTTCTTCGTAGCTTTGTGGGGTCTTCTTTCTCGCCTTCGCTAGTCTTGCTTCCTCGGTGTCCTCCTCCAGGCGTCTCTTGCGACCCCGTGGTTCGTCCTCTCCTGATGTTGTTTGTGAGTCGTGGCCGCCACAGGAGCTTCTAGGACTCATGTCGGCCATAAGAGAAGAAAATGTCGGAGGTGGAGGTGGTACTCCTGTGTCTGTAGCACCGCCCTGTAGCGGCAGGGTGTAAGGGGGAGGGGAATACTCGCATTTAACCTCCACCATGTGACATGGTAGATGACCTGGCCCCGGCATGTGACCTGGCATGATCTCACAACCACGTTGAACCATGACGAGAAGAACTCGTCAACACAGCAATACCTCAAGCCTCCAGTATTGTTAACGCTTGCGAGGACTTGACCTCCTTGACGCGGGAGTGGATCATAGGATGCCCTCCTTAACTATAACTCAAAAAAATCACTGTTCAACACTTTATGGCACACGGTTTGAAGTTCACACGGCACACGGGGAGTTCTGTACGTCACGCAGAGTGAAACTAGATGTGTGATTACTGGAAGACGCAGGATTCACGAACTGACTAGGCAGGAGAGACGCAAACAAGGCAAGGAACGGTCAACCACTGGTAGCAAGAAGTGCTGTTCCTTTAAGCTGCTGGTGTCACCAGACAGTATGGCACCCTGGCACCCCACACAACAGTGCCACACTCTTCCCTGTGGCACTTTCCCTCAACTCACCGCAACACAGAAAGCCAATTTCACTTCCACAATGGCACTAACAGCGGCAGATATCAACACCCTCGCCACAATTGCACCTCTTATCACAACCATTCATGTAAATCCCTCCAGTATGGCTGGCTAAAGAGGCAACCACCCAGCCAATAGCATCACAGGAGCACCCTCGGCCCCGCCCCAGAGGGACACAGTGACCAATCATCGTGTAGTGTGGGGTAGTGCCCAGGAAGGGTGCCACTCACACACACACTCACAGCCCTGGGCATGAATGATAACTCCCCCTAAAAGTAAGCCGGCTTCTGTTTTTTTCAACACACGAACGTACGTCCCGACCCTCCACATCCTCCTTTCAAAATGTTCCCCATCTATTGGCTTAACAGCCACCTAAATACACATTCAAACAACCTTTGAATTGCACATTCTAAGCACAGATATGGGTGTAGGTGAGAATGGTTGGATTTGAAGAACTGCCCGTTATGGACCAGTAGGCTCCTGGCTAGTATGGACCAGTAGGCTCCTGGCTAGTATGGACCAGTAGGCTCCTGGCTAGTATGGACCAGTAGGCTCCTGGCTAGTATGGACCAGTGGCTCTGGCTAGTATGGACCAGTAGGCTCCTGGCTAGTATGGACCAGTAGGCTCCTGGCTAGTATGGACCAGTAGGCTCCTGGCTAGTATGGACCAGTAGGCTCCTGGCTACTATGGACCAGTAGGCTCCTGGCTAGTATGGACCAGTAGGCTCCTGGCTAGTATGGACCAGTAGGCTCCTGGCTAGTATGGACCAGTAGGCTCCTGGCTACTATGGACCAGTAGGCTCCTGGCTAGTATGGACCAGTAGGCTCCTGGCTAGTATGGACCAGTAGGCTCCTGGCTAGTATGGACCAGTAGACTTCTGGCTAGTATGGACCAGTAGGCTCCTGGCTAGTATGGACCAGTAGACTTCTTGCTAGTATGGGCCAGTAGACTCTTGGCTAGTATGGACCATTAGATTTCTGGCTAGTATGGACCAGTAGGATCCTGGCTAGTATGGACCAGTAGACTTCTAGCTAGTATGGACCAGTAGACTTCTGGCTAGTATGCACCAGTAGACTCTCTAGTATGGACCAGTAGACTTCTGGTTAGTATGGACCAGTAGACTTCTGGTTAGTATGGATCAGTAGACTTCTGGCTAGTATGGACCAGTACACTTCTGGCTAGTGATGAATCAGTAGGCTCCTGGCTAGTATGGACCAGTAGACTTCTGGCTAGTATGGACCAGTAAGCTCCTAGCTAGTATGGACCAGTAGACTTCTGGCTAGTATGGACCAGTAGACTTCTGGCTAGTATGGACCAGTAGGCTCCTGGCTAGTATGGACCAGTAGACTTCTGGCTAGTATGAAAAAGTAGGCTTCTGGCTAGTATGGACCAGTAGGCTCCTGGCTAGTATGGACCAGTAGACTTCTGGCTAGTATGGACCAGTAGGCTCCTGGCTAGTATGGACCAGTAGACTTCTGGCTAGTATGGACCAGTAGGCTCCTGGCTAGTATGGACCAGTAGGCTCCTGGCTAGTATGGACCAGTAGACTTCTGGCTAGTATGCACCAGTAGGCTCCTGGCTAGTATGGACCAGTAGGCTCCTGGCTAGTATGGACCAGTAGACTTCTGGCTAGTATGCACTAGTAGGCTCCTGGCTAGTATGGACCAGTAGACTTCTGGCTAGTACGGACCAGTAGGCTCCTGGCTAGTATGGACCAGTAGACTTCTGGTTATTATGGACAGTAGGCTCCTGGCTAGTATGGACCAGTAGACTTCTGGCTAGTATGGACCAGTAAGCTCCTAGCTAGTATGGAACAGTAGACTTCTGGCTAGTATGGACCATTAGACTTCTGGCTTTTTGACCAGTAACTTCTGCTAGTAGGACCAGTAATTCTGGTAGTATGGATCAGTAACTTATGGCTAGTATGGACCAGTAGACTTCTGGCTAGTATGGACAGTAGACTTCTAGTTAGTATGGCAGTAGACTTTGGTAGTATTTCACTTGACTTTCTCTTTGTATGGACCAGTAGACTTCTATCTAGTATGGACCAGTAGACTTCTGGCTAGTATGGACCAGTAGACTTTTGGCTAGTATGGACCAGTAGACTTCTGGCTAGTATGAACCAGTAGACTTTGGCTAGTATGCACCAGTAGACTTTCTCTAGTATGGACCAGTAGACTTCTGGCTAGTATGGACCAGTAGACTTCTATCTAGTATGGACCAGTAGATTTTGCTGTATGGACAGTGACTTATGGCTAGTATGGACCAGTAGACTTTGGCTAGTATGCACCAGTAGACTTTCTCTAGTATGGACCAGTAGACTTCTATCTAGTATGGACCAATAGACTTCTGGCTTGTATGGACCAGTAGACTTCTGGTTAGTATGGACCAATAGACTCCTGGCTAGTGTGGACCAGTAGGCTTCTAGCTAGTATAGATTAGTAGGCTTCTAGCTAGTATAGACCAGTAGGTTCCTGGCTAGTATGGACAAGTAGACTTCTGGCTAGTATGGACCAGTACACTTCTGGCTACTATGAATCAGTAGGCTCCTGGCTAGTATGGACCAGTAGACTTCTGGCTAGTATGGACCAATAGGCTCCTAGCTAGTATGGACCAGTATACTTCTGGCTAGTATGGACCAGTAGGCCCCTAGCTAGTATGGACCAGTAGACTTCTGGCTAGTATCGACCAGTAGACTTCTTTCTAGTTTGCACCAGTAGATTCATGGCTAGTATGGACCAGTAGACCAGTAGATGGATCAGTAGACTTCTGGCTAGTATGGACCAGTAGACTTCTGGCTAGTATGGACCAGTAGACTTCTGGCTAGTGTGGACCAGTAGGCTTCTAGCTAGTATAGACTAATAGGCTTCTAGCTAGTATAGACCAGTAGGTTCCTGGCTAGTATGGACCAGTAGACTTCTGGCTAGTATGGACCAGTAGGCTCTTGGCTAGTATGGACCAGTAGACTTCTGGCTAGTATGGACCAGTAGACTTCTGGCTAGTATGGATCAGTAGACTTATGGATAGTATGGACCAGTAGACTTCTGGCTAGTATGGACCAGTAGACTTCTAGCTAGTATGGACCAGTAGACTTCTGGCTAGTATGCACCAGTAGACTTTCTCTAGTATGGACCGGTAGACTTCTATCTAGTATGGACCAGTAGACTTCTGGCTAGTATGGACCAGTAGACTTCTATCTAGTATGGACCAGTAGACTTCTGGCTAGTATGGACCAGTAGACTTCTGGCTAGTATGCACCAGGAGACTTCTGGCTAGTATGCACCAGTAGACTTTTGGCTACTATGGATCAGTAGACTTATGGCTAGTATGTACCAGTAGACTTATGGCTAGTATGGACCAGTAGACTTCTGGCTAGTATGGACCAGTAGACTTCTGGCTAGTATGGACCAATAGACTCCTGGCTAGTGTGGACCAGTAGGCTTCTAGCTAGTATAGATTAGTAGGCTTCTACCTAGTATAGACCAGTAGGTTCCTGGCTAGTATGGACAAGTAGACTTCTGGCTAGTATGGACCAGTACACTTCTGGCTGGTATGGATCAGTAGGCTCCTGGCTAGTATGAACCAGTAGACTTCTGGCTAGTATGAACTAGTAGGCTCCTAGCTAGCATGGACCAGTATACTTCTGGCTAGTATGGGCCAGTAGGCCCCTAGCTAGAATGGACCAGTAGACTTCTGGCTAGTGTGGACCAGTTGACTTCTGGCTAGTATGCACCAGTAGACTCCTGGCTAGTATGGACCAGTAGACTTCTGGCTAGTATGGACCAGTAGACTTCTGGCTAGTATGGACCAGTAGACTTCTGGCTAGTATGGACCAGTAGACTTCTGGCTAGTGTGGACCAGTAGGCTTCTAGCTAGTATAGACTAATAGGCTTCTAGCTAGTATAGACCAGTAGGTTCCTGGCTAGTATGGACCAGTAAACTTCTGGCAAGTATGCACCAGTAGACTTCTGGCTAGTATGCACCAGTAGACTTCTGGCTAGTGTGGACCAGTAGACTTCTGGCTAGTGTGGACCAGTAGGCTCCTGCCTAGTATGGACCAGTAGACTTCTGGCTACTATGAACCAGTAGGCTTCTAGCTAGTATAGACTAATAGGCTTCTAGCTAGTATAGACCAGTAGGTTCCTGGCTAGTATGGGCCACCAGTCTTCTGGTTAGTATGGACCAGTAGACTTCTGGCTAGTGTGGACCAGTAGGCTTCTAGCTAGTATAGACTAATAGGCTTCTAGCTAGTATAGACCAGTAGGTTCCTGGCTAGTATGGACCAGTAGTCTTCTGGTTAGTATGAACCAGTAGACTTCTGGCTAGTGTGGACCAGTAGGCTTCTAGCTAGTATATACTAATAGGCTTCTAGCTAGTATAGACCAGTAGGTTCCTGGCTAGTATGGATCAGTAGACTTCTGGCAAGTATGCACCAGTAGACTTCTGGCTAGTATGCACCAGTAGACTTCTGGTTAGTATGCACCAGTAGACTTCTGGCTAGTATGTACCAGTACACTTCTGGCTAGTATGGACCAGTAGAATTCTGGCTAGTGTGGACCAGTAGGCTCCTGGCTAATATGGACCAGTAGACTTCTAACTACGTATGGACCAGTAGACTTCTGGCTAAGTATGGACCAGTAGACTTCTGGCTACGTATGGACCAGTAGACTTCTGACTAGTATGGACCAGTATTCTCCTGGTTAGTATGGACCAGTAGGCTTCTGTCTAGTATGTACCAGTAGACTTCTGGCTAGTATTGACCAGTAGACTTCTGACTAGTATGGTCCAGTAGACTTCTGGCTAGTATGGACCAGTAGACTTCTGGCTAGTATGGATAAGTAGACTTCTGGCTACGTATGGACTAGTGGACTTCTGGTTAGTGTGGATCAGTAGACCTCTGGCTAGTATGGACCAGTATACTCCTGGCTAGTGTGGACCAGTAGGCTTCTAGCTAGTATAGACCAGTAGGCTCCGGGCTAGTATGGACCAGTAGACTTCTGTCTAGTATGGACCAGTAGGCTCCTGGCTAACATGGACCAGTAGACTTTGGCTAGTATGAACCAATAGGCTCCTGGCTAGTATAGACCAGTAGACTTATGGCTAGTATGGATCAGTAGACTTCTAGCTAGTATGGACCAATAGGCTCCTGGCTAGTATGGACCAGTGGACTTCTAGCTAGTATTGACTATAGATTTCTGGCTAGAATGGACCAGTAGGATTCTGTCTAGTATGGGCCAGTAGGCTTTTGTCTAGTATGGACCAGTAGACTTCTATCTAG